TTACGTAATCAATATTTCATATATTTTAATTTTAAATAAATAATTGAAATAAAATTTTAAATGACGTCCTGTGTGCTTACGTACGTCATTATTACGGCGTACGTGTGTATTTACGTATGGGTGTACGTATATATATATATATGATGACAGAGGTATTGTATTTTTTTTATTTTTAATCAGAGAGAGGTATATTGTATTTTTTTATTTTTTATACAAAAGCATATAAAATTACATGACTATCTTCTCTTTAGTTGATTTCGTTTTGAGCTATTTTCCATATTCAATTTTAATACAGAACGTATACATATATGGTGCAAACTTGATTATTTATTCATTTTATTATATATTATTTATATGTATTTGAAATTTTGTATTTTACATTTTTATCTTATAGAGGCTAAAAGATTAGATCTTCTGTCCGTATTCTGGAAGATTGCACGGACCAATTGTTTAACTTGTGGAGCAGTGAATTCCTGTGCTAATGGTCCTTTTCCATTTCCCCATCTAAATTCGATTTCTTTCAATGACGCACCAAGTAACTTAATAAGCTCCAAAAATTTCTTCCATTTACGTACATGATGTTGAATCTGTTGATCCTATAAAATAAAAAACGTTAAACAGAATAATGTTGTTATGGCTTAACTTTTACAGGAACCAGTTGGAATGCTACTATCTCGAGCAACTCTTTATCATATCAAATGTACGACATTAAATGCAATAAAAATTTATATCATATTAAACTTCTTGTATACCATATACTTTATCTTTTTATATTGTTTTTTTTTTTAAATCTTATACTTACAGGAAATATCTGCGGCATTCGTTTTACAACCATATTAAATAAAGTTACCATTTCTGTCGCAACATCAATAGGAATATCTTCGGCAGATATGACCTTCGTTATTAAATCGTCAATCATAGAATTCGTTATACATCCTGTAATGTAAAAAAATTAAAAATTCGTTAAAATACAACAATAAAGAATTTGATGAATAGAAAAACTAACCAACAGCTTTACAGTAGATATTTATAGGCAACACATCCAACCATACGGTCTTCAATAGTTCCAATTGTCTAATGCATTGTCTTAATGCACGTTCGGTGCTAGGATCTAACTGAGGCGCTTGGCTTAATCCTGAGAA